ACATTGTTAGAAATAAAAATGGAGTTAATAGAATAACACATCCCCTTAGCATCCGCAGGTGCGTAGCAAACCAAGGCAAACCAAAAACTTACAACTTACCCGATATTACCGTTTTTTTTTTCGCCTTTAAAGTTATTTAATTTTTAATGTTCCCATAAATTTAAAAAAAGCTAGCAAAGAAACGCAGTGGTTTGTTTATTCAATAATTCTTAACTTTGGAGGGAACCCGGTAAAAAAAATGAATGAAAATAAAATGGGAAATTCACCAAATTTGCATACAGGATAGTTTTGAGTGAAATTTATTTCATATATTTTACCATAAGGTGTCTTAAACCTAGGTAATAAAAATATAATTTTGTTTTTCTTTTCCTTGCCCCAAAAATATAAAATGAGAGCAATGAGTAAAAAAGTTTTTTAATATCCAAATTTTAACATTTCAAACCTGTCGTTTTTTATGCAACTTAATGTAAAAAACCTAGAAATATGTTATATAGAAATATGTAGACAATTTTTCTTTTCCGACACAAATTGTTCTTTTCTTTATCTTCCATCTTCTACTTTACGTGCCATCTCCGCGACGGACTTTGGCATTCATCATGGCTATTCTGATCTTAGATGCTGCCCCTTTGAATAGTTCGATTGATATGCATCCGTACCATTCCCTCAAGTTACGTAACCATAAGATTCTTCTCCTTCCTACACTTCTCCTGCTCTACCTTCAATAATATGTTGGAAATTCTTTCTTCATCAATTGCATTTTTTCCACCACTTTGTATACCCCTTTTATCTTTAATAATATTACTTTTTATTTAATCTAAGGCTAGGCGGATTCTTTTGTGGTTGATCTGAAGTGAATTTAAAAAGGTTTCTTTGCAAACGAGATTGCCATCTATAAAATATTTTCTTGACTGACTTCTTCTTGATGTTTGGTTTTTTGTGTAACATCTTTTCTTGTTACCCTCTTCAAACTATTTACCAAGTAAAGCACAGCGCCCTTCAAATGTCCCTATACTCTAAAATTGGTCGAAAAATCTTCTCGTTTCAACATTTATAATATTGCGACATTTTCTTGAACGTGGACAAGAGTAATCTTCATTAAACTTTTTTGGTAATATAATTTTGTTTCATGCCGAAACATATTTTTGGTTACAATTTGCAAACTTTTTTCTGTCTGGTCTTGATTGTTTTAGTGGTTTTCTTGATCTTCCGCGTTTCTTTCTACCATCTTTTTTTGTTATATTTAAATAGATTTCCATATCCTCTTGGCCTCTCGTTTCTTCTTCTGCAGAATCAGTTTCTTCGGATTCAGAAAAATATTCACTGCCAGAGGACTGGTATGGCTCATCAAAATCCATTTCAGCAGGTATATTTTTCTGAGTACTATAGAAACTGCTTGTTTCTTATTCTCGAACGCAGTAGTTTTACAAGCATGTAATAAGCTTACAACTCAAGTTGTGTACTATACTTTTTCTATGATTATTTTCATTTATAAAAATAAAAAGTATAAGAAGTAACTTTCATTTATTTAACAAAATTCGGGAACAATTTAAATTAAACATTTATTTATAAAAATTAATTGTAAAATCTTGGCAATTATTTATAACTATACCCTTATTCGAGTTTGGCGGTTGTTCAATAATACGTGGTGCATGGTGAGATGACGTAAACTGTACGGTGTGTTCTTTTTTAACATTGGTATTTTTAGTATATGTAAAAGTCTGTAAATTACTTTCAATTGAATTTATAATTCTATTGGCTGTTGACGTCTTATTAATTATTGAGTCATCGACATATCCTTCGGCCGATTTATTTGGCATCCTAAGAACTGAAAATTAACAAGACATGGATATCAATATTAAAATCCACAAACACCCTTTCCGCCAAACACGAAGAAAGAAAAGCTACTACAAACAACGCCACGCCCCCTCAAGCAAAACCAGTGGCGGGGAGGCGACTGGGAAATATAAATATTGCCTCCGTAGTGTACAACGCGGCGTCACTTTCTGCTTACAAGCGAAGCATTAACACCTCCAGAAGATAACAATCCCTAGTGTTGGCGAAACGTCGAGAACTAATCTCACAAGACAACGGCCTAGCATCCCGAACAAACAGTTTAATAAACATATTAGTCTAGTTCCTGATTTCGTAAATTTATTGTCGTTTTTCTTTTTATTCTTTGAATTAATAAATTTTGAGAACCTAAATGCGACCATTTTTATATTATTTATTACCATGTATTGATAACAACATTAACTGATATTGTAGATTATAACAAAATTTAGAAGCTTTCCACTAATGGTCAGTTTCTCATCCAATAATTCTGCGGCTTGACGCTTTTGACTGCAACACAAGGTTCTAACCATTATGTTACTGTTCAGTGGCCAAGAGGTCTAATACACATATCTTAGTAACAACTTAGGCATGAATTAATTTAATAAGATAAGTAGACATAATCTAAAATCAGGTATATTCAAAATTTAGTCATCAAAAAACAATAAATTTATACTTAAAATTTGCAAAAACTAACTAATTTTGTTACAGGAAATCTGTCGCAGGGCGACGATTTTACCATTAAAAATAAAGCCTCTAGTTTGGTGCAATTTTATTTATTTAAATAAAATTGTAATAATAAATTTCTCGTCTCTTACTAAGTCAAAATAAATATTTGTTCAATTTAATATTTTGCATCTGGTGCACACAATGAAAAGACGCTTACAAAGATTTGCAACAAGCGTCTAACCCACATAATAATATAATCAAAACATGGGTTAAACTATTTTTACAAATTTCTGTTTTCATGAGTATGGATATGGCTTATATCATTTTTGCTTTTGCATTATGATGGACAGGTTATGACACGTCTAACCTCATTTGTAAACAAATGTTTGTTAGACGGTTGTTGCAAAGCACCGTCCAGATATGAACACATCCTCGTATATACATACTTTATTTAAGAGTTAGAAGAAGGTAAAATAAAACTACATATAAATGATAACTGATGTTCTATTTCTTTGTTTTTTCCAAAATCATATAAATACGTTTTTAATGGATGAAAAAGGGTTTTAAATTTGAACAGTTTGTCATTTCACAGATAAATATTTTTCAAATAAAAAATATTCCTCCTCATTGTTAATTTGATATATAAAAATATATATAAAACAAACAAAACTTCGATTTCTCATTCCCTTATACTAATATGTCCCTATTATATTTTAGCATATTTTCAGATTGAAAGCTGCAGGTATAATAATTATTGTAGTTTTTTTTAGTTTCTACTTTTCTTATGACCTCTCTCACATTTTTCTTTAAATGAATAGTTGACAAACATTATAATATATTTCGTTTTCCGTCAATAATCCCTGTGCTTTACATATCCACCTCCCTATATACACCTTCAAATGTTCTAAATCAGATTCTTGTTATTATACCTTCATAAAATTATTGCATAACAATATGATTAATTGTCTCATTACTATAATTGATGTCTCTCATATAGAGGTTTCTTGGAAACTCAGTTAATAAATATATTTCGTTAAGTTTGGACTTAAATTTATCGCTGCTACCACTGTAATACTAGAAGTGTTCCTTTACTAACGTGAGATTTTAATTCCTATGTCTCCTCATCTTACTGATGTTTTATGAAAACTATCTATGTTTATTTGTTAGAAAAATGATTAATTAGAAGGAGCATTTTCTTCAAAACAGAACATAAAACAATTGAAATAAGTTATTTCGTATGAGTCCTTGTGACCAATGAGAGATACACATCTGTATCCTCGTTACACAGGCAAAGGCAGTTTCAAAGTCAACAAAACACATCAATATCTTTATTCCATTCATCTGTTTGGTCCAAAATAATTCTTAGGGTGCAAATGTGGCCAATAATGGAGCGTTTAGCAAGGAAGCCTGCTTGGTTACTTGATTACAGAGAATTGTTTTAATTTTTACAAACGCATTCCTTACTATTTCTATTCCCTACCTTATTTCTGCTGTTTGGTCATTATTTTCTGTACAGAAGCTTGTGCAGTTAAAAATAAAGGATAATAACGAATGCATGTAGTAGAAATGAGAGTGCTCAGATGGATGGAATGACAAAAAATAAAATTAAGAATGAGTATATAAGGGAGATCCTAGGGGTCTCACCCATTGTTGTCAAATTGAGAGAGCAATGTTAAGATGGTTCGGGCATGTTCAACATCGAGATTCTAATCACCCAATACCAAAAATTGCTGATTTGATGTTCCTAGAAGGAGTAGGAGAGGAAGGAATGATAAAGAATCCTGCGGAGAAATATAATTAAGGAAGCCGACCCCGCATAGGGATAACGGCAAAGAGAATAATGATGATTATAACATTAGAGTTACATAATTGTTTGTTACAACCTTAGGAAGACAACTAAACTATAGCGACGGTGACAAGTATGATAAACTGTACCGTCAAATTCTTGAGCATCAATTTATTAAATAATATATATTTTTTAGATTTTTTAAATTATTTTATTTATAAATGTAAAACTAAAATTGAAAAGTGAAATCGCATAAAAATGCACTAACTGAAAATGTTCTACAAATTCTCCATTATATTTTATCATTAAAATTTTTCATCAGGTATATGTGAACAGATGAATTAACACAAATTATAACCTTATAATTTCATTTTTTCAGTCTTCTACAATATGTATTATCCAGAAAATACAGCAATACTGTGTGAAAATGATAAAGTCAAATTGTACAGATAATTTATGACGTACAAATTATTTGATATGAAAATATCGATTGAGTTTAACAAACTCAAAAATTAAGAATCGTGTATCAAACACTTTTAACTGCGAATTTATATAGACCCTTTTTCTTCCATTCTTAGAAATAATGAGCAACTAAATCACACACAAAACGCTAAAAGATAAATACTGAAATACAAAAGAAAATAACCTAAAATATATATGTACATACTATGTTAAATAATGTAATTTCACATATAGACTTATTAATGAGGAGGCACTATAAGAACTTTTTGATATTTGCTTTACTATGACGAACTTGAGAGATGTTCATTTTAAGTTTAAGTTGTTGGACGAGATCATAAATCTTCAAGGAGGGGCCGACCTTGCCGCCAGTAATGTCTATGACATCTTCTTTGCTCAGATTTAGAAGCTTCTTTCCGTCGATATTCTGAAAAAAATTTTTAATATAAATAACTTGTATTTTAATATGGCTACTGATGTGAAGCGAGACTATTCTAGAGGAGAAAATTCCCGTCGGTAATTTTCTCAAAATGCTTTTAGCAGTATGGCTTACACGCGGTTTTTACCCGGTTGCACGAATCACAGAGGAGTTTATTTGTAAATTTTCGTATCATAGTACTCTATTCTATTGACTGACAACGCCAGTGCAATGGTAAAAGCCAGAAACAATATTCATGAAAAATACAAACATAGCTCAATTTACTAATCGGAAACATTTCAAACAAGCAAGCCATAGCTTCCTTAGAGGACAGTGTTAAAACTATCGTTTAAGAAATGAATACTTCTCATCCTTTACTGGTCACTTCTAATAAATTTCAGACTGAAAAAAGGGGAAACTGTACCAATAGCGCCAAAGTTACCCGTCAAAACTAGTTGGAAATTTATTATAGCACAGCTTAAAAAGTCCTCTTCAGTCAAAATAAGAGTATGAGTGTTAAAGCTGTTCAATTTACTTAACACCATTGTTGAATGTATAACGAACCAGAGTCAGATAAGCCAAGTATAAGTCAAGCAGTAGAATGTTTCTATAACCTGGAAAAACATTTTCAAACCCTAAGCCCCCGTAGAAAGCAAAAAGATCAGAATTCCAGAAATATTTAGGAAAAAGAAAGCATACTGCTCTAAACCCAATCCATTTGACAGTTAATATATTAGATCCGTGTTTTAATGGTGTTCATGAAAGAGAGGATTATTTCTCTTATTGAGAATAATAAGCATATCAACGACTATAGATTGCATATCAACGACAGCAACAACGACATAGAACACAAAAGGTAGAGGAATCAATCAATCAATGCGTTTTTACCTTGCTTTAAGCTCTATGCTTCTTCAAGGGTGGGTTTGTTACTTGGGTGCTTATGCTTGTTTGGTTTGAAATGCCAGTTTTCGTTCATATGACTTCGGTTGGACTCCGAAGACTAAGGGCGCCGCCGCTAAAAAGCTAAAAAGTCAAAGAGGGTAGGAGAAGGATAGGGAGGGTGCCGAGAACAAGAAGAAGGCAAGAGGCGGAAATCGTACCTTCCGGAAGAGTTAGCCGGTATACCAAGCCTGTCACGAAGTACAAGTTCCGTGGAAAAACGATTCCTTTCAGATTATTGGCCATTGTTTGTTTGTTGGAAAAACGCGTGGAGGATAGCTGTGGCTGTGTCCTCACCTAGGATCAGGTATCATTGTGCAATGAGATTGGGAAACCACAGAAAACCAATCTCCCCCTTTCCTTGTGTAATTTAATCGACTCTTAAGGAGTGTAGTCGGTGCTCACAGTGTGGTGTTGTGTTGTGTGTTTGTGGAGTTTTGTATGTTTATTAATTTGGATTTTATGTTTATTATTGTGATATGGGATTAGGTGTTTATTAATTTGGATTGTGAGCTGGGAGGAGGTAAAGTGTTGTGTATGGGTGTTGCTGGTGTATGTATGAATATGTGTTGATGTAGGTGTTTTAGATGTGTGTGGTGAGGTTTATGCAGATGTTGTGATGAAGTGGCTATGGCACATCATATTGCGTTTGATTTGGTTAAGGAATAGGGTTATTGCGCTTCTCTTTTCAGGGAAGACGTTGAATAGGAGCATGGATGTGAAGTGAATGAGGATTTCATGTCGGAGGTTAGATCGTAGGATGGGATTTGTTTCTCTGTGTGTACTGGTTGGGTTTGGTTGTAGTTTGCGGGATGAGCGCTTCTGTGAGGACATCGTGGTGAGAAGGCAGTGTGAGGACCACTACGGTTGGGACATTTTGGAGCTGATATTGTGGGGCAGGCAGTAGACCGATGGCTGAGCCCGCAGAACGGGCAAATTATTGACTTTTCGGAACATTCTGTGTTGAAATGTCCGCTTTTGCAGCATCTCGAGCAGTATTTAGACCGAACGGGGACGGAGTTGCCTGATCGTGGAATTTCACAGGCCAACCGTTCACCCTCGATCAAAATACCGCTCGTGAGTGCTTCAGCGAACTTGGTTTCAGAGTTAGTGAATACTCTGATGTAGGAGGTGGGTTGATTGGTGGAGCGGGCGATTATTCGAACTACTTTGGTATAGGGAAAGTTGTTTTCGGATAGGTTATCCTCGATAAGTTTTTGGAGAAGGTTTTTGCTACGCCGGCTATGACGAGGTGGAAGATAGATGAATTATTAGGATTGGGTGATGGATTTTGGGACTTAGGTAGACGGGCTACAATGCGGATTTGGTCGTTTTGGATGATTTTTCGGAGGTTTGCCGTGATGTGGGCGATATCAAGGAGTTTTGTTGTTCGAATCGAGGCCGCCTTTTGGGCTGGAAAGACTTTTAGTGAGTCCAATTTAGGGATGAGGTTGTGTTGTAGGAGGAGGCGATAGAATGGTCTCTGCTGGCAGATATCAGCAGGATGTCCTCTATCCTGTAGTTTTTGAATTGAGGTGGTTGTTGAGGGAGGGGGGGATAGTATGAGGGTTGGGTGAGGTGGTTTGCGAGTGTATGGGGTGTGGTGTTGGTGGTGTGTGTGGTATTGCTATTTCTGGTGTATGTGAAGGGGTTTGGATTGGGGGGTTGAGGGTTGGAGGGGTTTGTAGAGGGTTGTCTGCACTGGAGGTGGAAGGGGTGGGTTGGTATAGTGTTTGTGTGTTTATGTATGTTTTCTTGGGGGTGGCTAGGATTTTGGGAGTGATGTTTTTGGTTTCTATGAATTCTGATGGTTTCTGTTTGGAGACGGATATGTGACTTTCGGTAAGGGTTCTCAGACCCCTCTCCCACTCCTTAAGATTGGAGAGGGGGCCTGTTGTGTACAGGATGGCCTGGTTTTCGGATGCTTCCGTATCCAGTTCAAAAGGGATATCTCCAAGGAGATTGTCGTTTTTAAGGGTTCTAAGGAGTTTTCGTTGGCTGGAATATTTTTGAGGGATAGTGTGATGTAGTATCTGTGTGTGTGAAGTGTATTTTTTGGTATAGGTTTTGGAAAAGGTTTGGTTGGTTTTGGAGGAGGAATAGGAGAGGGTGGAGGTACGGGAGAAGATGTTGGTAGGGGTGGAGGGGGGATGGGGGAAGGGTGGTGGTGGAGGTGAGGGGGAGGGGATGTATCCAGGGATTGCAGACATGAAAGCGCTTTGAAGGATTTTTCGGATGGTATCTGGAGTTGGTGAATTTGTTTGTTGATTTTGTGAACTATTGGGGTGAGGTGTTCGCCCCAGCAAGTTTAATGGGTTAAATAATAATTAAGTCTTTGTTCCATTTTAAATATATTTCAAATAGTAAACATAAACACTCCACCAAAGTAAGGTTAATGTTTAAGTTAGAATGCCAACAATGTCAAAAGTCATCCGATTTTCGTGCAAGTTAAAATATATTAACTTCTTCCGATGACTTTTAATTTCGAACGAAAATCCCACCTGTCATTTTTTAACCAATGAAATTCGCTGAAATTTATATCGTATCATCGGATCGTCGGATATCGGACCTGTGAAAATCCACCTTTAGTCTTAATGCCCCGCAGTGATAAGCTCTGATATTGCTCGTTGATATGTGTTGATTGACTCGTCTAAGCATCTTTTGCCTTTTCAGGAGATGTTTTTAGTTATATATAGCGGCACTGGTCTCGTTAGATGTTGCATCTACTGTAGAGCGTTTCGCATTAAGAATGGAACGTTGCTTAGGTAGGGCTACGTATTTCTTATGGATGATAGAAGCGCAATATGTACAAGCACAATTTCTTTCCCATAGAAATTAATTAAAATGAATGTTTTCTAACGTAACTGACTAGAATTGAAATTATTGAATATAAACCTTTCGCTTGAGACACATGGGAATTGAAATTTTTAGAATATGGCTTAATTTTCCAAATGCTGTCCATGTCAGGCCTATTCGCCTCTGTATTTCATGTGTTTGATTGTCTCTGCTTATTTTGATTTCGTGTCCCAGATATTTGTAAGTGTCTGTTTGTTGTATGGTATTATTGTCAATAGTTCTATTTTCAGTCATTACGAGATTTGTCATAAGTTTAATTTTCTCAAAGTTTATCTTTAATCCTGCTCTTTTAGACAGACTTTTAAGCGAATGTATCATAGAAACTGTATCCTGTAAGTTATCTGCGATTAATACAACATCATCTGCAAACCTTAGATGATTTAATCTTTCTCCATCTATATTGATGCCCATATCTTTCCATTGACTGTTCTTAAATATTGACTCTGGAGCTGCCGTGAACAATTTTGGTGAAATATTGTCTCCTTGTCTAACTCCTCGATCTATGCTGAATTTTTCTGTGTCTTCGTGTTATATTCGTGTATACTTGATGTAGCGTTCTCGTAGATGTTTTTGATTAGTGTCGTATACCTCTAATCTATTCGGCTTTGATTTAGGGCTTCCAGTACTGTTTCAAACTCTTCAGAATCAAAAGCCTTCTCGTAATCGACAAATGCAAGAACCAGTGGTATGTTGTACTCGATGCACTTTTCTATTAAGATCATGATATATTTGAATAATGGTTTAAGGAAAGGCTGTTCCTTAATCTTCCGGAGACAACTGTTGTGGTGATGGACAACTCCTCGTAAGATTCGAGGAGAGAAGAAGTGATTCCGACACAAGCGTTTAATAAAGATCAAATTAAGACGTGGTTGCTGTTGCAGTCTACAAGATTTCCCGTTTGCTACGCCAGAGTTGATAAATTATATAACTTATTTCTCTATTTGTAAATTTAACGAAAAATTTGTTGTATATCAAACATGTTGAAATGCCATAAATGTGTGCTTTGCCCATTGTGTGCTTTTCTCGTCAAAAACATAATTAATGTGCGGTAGCGTACATTAAACGTACATAGCGTTGTAAATGACTGTTCATTAAAAGTTATGTTTTAAAAATGTTACAATGTTTTTAGAAAATATGTGTACCTGTTTACTGAAGGCATCGCTATAATTAGCGCAATCGTTAACCCTGAGGAATTGAACAATATCGGAGGAACTCCATTCTTTCGGACAAAGTTCACTTCTTTCAGAAGTATTACCTGAGTTATCTATTAGTCTGGGTATCACTTTTGGACTGCTCGGAGTGGATGACTGAAACAAACATATAATTTATTATCTGTTATACCGATTTTCTATAAATCTATTTTCTACAAAGTCAAATGACGTGGCATAATCACTGGACTAAATATAAAACTTGATACTCAAAAAGTTAGTGGATAAACAACAAAACAAGTAATTCAAAGACAATCGATGCTCCACGAATAGTGCCAAGACTTGTATGTTCAGAAGAACTTCCAAATTAGTGCAATTAAATCTAAGGTTAAGATTAATACTATAAAAAAAAATGAATATCAAACCACCTAGTTTTCAGATTGAACCGCGCCCAATTTGAGTAAACCAAGCTTTAGACTTCCTCTATAAAGTCTTCACAGGGCTTGGTGGATCTTAGTCGCTTGAGACCTCGACCCTTTTACTCCTCAACAAAAACTTTCATCTCTTGTCCGATCCGTCAAAGATAGCATTCTAAATGAACAACATGGAGTTTATGACATTCCTTGTGCAGACTACCGACCATCTTACATAGACCAAACCAATCGAATAATCCAAAATAATTTGCATTTCCGTTCGCAATTTCGATTCAGTTTCAGCTTTGCCAATGTTCGGTAATCATTCATTGGTAGACGAGCCAGGTCGAGCTTTAATTGGTTCATGTCCTTTTCCCTGGTTCCCTTTTCCCCTCGTTACATGTGGCAACGATGTAATTTCGGCATTCGGCATAAACATGGATTGGCTTCTAAAGAGAAGCGACACACAGTTGGTTGAACGAAGATATGCGACCACGTGCAGAAGTTATCGTGAAAAGTTTCGTTTCGTGATATGTTTGCCGGCCAAAATATCTTGTAAGTACCTATTTTTCTTTTCCTATATTTTTGCTACCATTTATAGCTCGATTGGATATTATCAAAAGACCTACGGAATTTACACCCATTTTTAAATCTCCTCCGCTTGTAGCTATCGAAGGAAAAAATTTTGCTATGAAAAAAAATTTACATATGAGTCTAAAGGCTGAATTTATTTTCTTTTTAGACAATTACTTTTCATATTCGTACAGCCAACATTTTAGATTTTTAAAATTCCAGAACTATATTTCCCACGGTTTTTCATAAACCACGAATTATTTAAGAAGACATAGAGATCGAAAAACGCCCGAATTGTCCCAATAAAATAGACGACGGCACCCGGTTGCCTCCAACCAATCCAGCAGTAGTAGTGCAGTCAACAGTGTACAAGTGATCGAGACTGAGACTGAAGCATTGATGAAAACTTCAGAAAGGAAGTTGAAGGCTCGGTTCACGTGGTTATAATCAAATTCGACGCAGTTGAATCCGGAGACCAGGTAAGTTTCATATTCATTTTTTGTAATAATATTATCATCGTCTACTTTAAAAACTTATTTAAAACTAATTATAAATTCTACATTGAACTGAATAAATATTATTGTCTACTTACATTAACACATGAATTAAAAGAATGATCAACTACTTCCGAAGATATCGGTAAACTTTGATCTGGACCTGCAGGTTCCTGTCCGGTCTCAGGTCCATGACTATCGTTGATGTCCTCGGTAGAAGCGAGCGACTCAATATCGGGAACAATGGTTGCTAAATCTGCTGGCATTTCTTCGGGTTCTTCAAGCCCAGCCAGTTCCGACGTTTCTGACTGTTCCATACGCTCCAAAGGCTCCGGAGTTTCGAATACTGACGAAGTTTCACTATTGGTGGATGTAGCTGCATGCTGTTGTGATTTCGGTACTGTTTCCTTCTTCTTTTTACGACCTCTCTTCTTTACTGTGGGAACAAAAAGTTAAAAAATCAAAAAGATATTTACAAACTAATTACAAAAATATTAGCACAATTCGACAAAATCTGTAAAAATATTGTTTTTATTACTTTATATATATATATATATATATATATATATATATATATATATATATATATATTAAATGTTTACCTTTTGAGTCTTCACCGCTGGTAAAAGTTGCTTGGCAAACCGTGGAGGCCCTTCTAATTTATACCCCACACTTTGACACCAACCGACAGGATATATATCAGGGCTTTCACAATCTAACCATTGATCATACTCATCTTCCCATCCATCAAAATGCACTTTTAACAATCGTCCTGTGACCTGTTGTAAACAAACAAAACAAATCATTAGCAATTGCGATAAAAATGACAAAAATATTTTAGTTTATGCTTTCAACAGTTAACGTAGTATAATGGGGATGTGGGATGTCGGGACATAGGCCGGAACAAACAGGTCAATTTTTATTTTCAAATTGTAATTTTTTTGTCGGATATCTTTTTTTTTGTAAGTATATTTGTCGAAGTTATAGCGGGTTCGACATTTTTTTTAAACAGGATACCCTATATTTAATTGAAGAAATGAATGGCTCTTTCAGGAACAAATTCAACAATATAGGGTTTATCTATGTTTCTTTAATTACTTCATGAAATAATCGAGAAAATCCGAAACATGTCAATTTTTTCAAACTAATGAAAGTTTTGAAAATTTGGCAATTCCAGCTCGGAATGACCTTCATATTAGAAGATAACTACATATGCCTATATATATTTTTAATGTTTTAGATCATTAACTTGAACGTGAGTCAGTAAAAAATAACATATTCCGAAACTGATATACTAGCATAAACACGTTTGCTTTTCTATGTTAGGAGTGATCTTACCTTGGCAATGGTAGCTATGCACAATAATCGTGGGGCCATGAGATCAGCTGCCTCTATTTTCATTCCTGGTTGAAAACCATGTAAAGGAATAAACGTTTTAAATAAAGATGGTACAGCCGGGCTGCTGCCTGTTTGCAACAGGTAGGATTTCCAATTGAATGTTAAAGCATCGTAACCTACAAAAATTATTTATATATTATAAGTGACAATAAGTATAAATAGTTCATAAATAAATAACAGAAATGTAAATATCACTGTAGTTTGCGCCATTAGAAAGGAACAAATATTTAGAAAAATCGCACTAACCTTTCGAACTATTTTACCTATTTTTGGAATTTGGTTTACCAAAATTTTTGGAATTAAATCAATTTTCCCAAGGCGATAAGTAATCATAAATTTGCACTGCGAAATGATCACAATGTGTAAAGATCTATTCCTTACTTACATGGACCCACAATATGTGAGAAAACTTAATGTTAAAACAATTGATCCTCAAGATACCTATTACAAAATTTGTCATCATTAACAACATGTATCTAGCAAAATATTAACTTTCATAGAACTGGCCGGGGTCTATTTTGACCCCAAATCACAATTTTTGGCTGTTACTTTATAGATCTTAATTTTTAATCGGTAGTGTTCCATCTATCTAGTTTATATATTGTATTGATAAAAAATTATGTCTACAAAACATTTAACGATTAGATTAAATTTAAACTTCAATTTTATAGGCTGGGGTCTCCTAATACCCCGGCCATCATTTTGTCATATAAAATAAACTCCTAATAAAGTTGTAATAATGTGGGAATCCCATAAAATTTTCCCTAAGTTCCAGTAGTGTCAATTGCTTTCTTGTCGTATTTGTGAATAGGGCATAAAATGATGAACATGAGTTCGTTTCATTTATATCTAGCCGAAAACAACTAGTGAAGATGACTTTTTACGCTTACTTGAAAGTGATGATCCAGAGCTTGATATCAATGAGGATACCGCAAGTGATTTAGAAGATGAAGACAATGTAACAGAGGTAGAAGAAGAAAATGACCTTATTATTGATCAAAGCATAGAGCAAAACGAACCAACAGTTACTGACTCCGAAGACTTACCAGTATATGTATCTAAAGATGAAACTGAGTGGTCAAGGTTGCCAAAAAACACAAAAGTGAAATGCGCAAAGGCCAATATTCGTAGACATGCTCAAGGACTTACAAATTACAGTAATGCTATATCAAGTATCAAAAACGCTTTCCTTTTGTTTTTTTTTTCAGACGAAATTCTAAACATAATTGTCATGGAAATAATCGGAAGGCTCAAGTGTATTACGATAAATGGAATAGTGAAAACGCAAATAAAACTAAAGTGTATGTTTGCGTCGATTCTGTAGAGATTCACGCTTATATTGGAGTATTGCTTATAGTTGGAGCTTTTCATGGATCGAAACGGGCGATCGATATGCTTTGGTGTGACGATATTGCTTACTGCCGTCCTATAATACCAGCTACTATGTCTAGAGATAGGTTCAAATAAATAACTTCATTTATACGTTTTGTCAATTTTGAAACAGGACAAGAAGGAAAATCAGTAGATAAACTGGCCCCAATAAGAAATCACTTGATCCAGGCGACCATCTGTGTGTAGATGAGCAGCTCGTGCCTTTTAGAGGTAAAGTACCATTCCGAGTTTATATGAAGAGCAAAACCTGATAAGTACGGATTAAAAATATGGGCCCTTGTGAATTGCACTACTTCTTTTATTGTAAATATGCAAATTTATTTGGGTAAGTTTTTGACTTGTTAAAAGAGTTGTCCTAGACTTGATAGATCATTTGGAAGGAGGGTTTGGAATAACAACTCACAATTTGTTTACGAGTTTACAACTTGCGGATAAGTTATGGGAGAAAAATATAACTCTATGTGGAACTCTTCGAAAAAATAAAACGTCTATTCCAAGGGAGGTTCTACCAGCATCTATAAAACGTCGAACGTTAGTCTTATGTTTCAAAACCAAGAACTGCAGACATCTTACTTTTAAGTGAGCATGTTGACAACAAAGTGGCTGGTGAAGAACACTCCTATAAACCTGAAATTATTCTACATTACAACAAAACGAAAGGAGCGTCGATAAAACCAATAAGTTAGTTAAATAATATAAGGTACAAAGAAAAACAAAACGTTGGCTGATGGCTATGTTCTCTCATCTTATTGATGCCACAGGTATTAATTCCTGTAAATTGTGGCTACTAAAATATCCTGATTGGAAAAAGCACAATATGAGTAAGCGTAACATGTATATTTTGGCACTGGGCAAGGAACTTGAAAGAAACAAGAAGGTACATCGAAAAGAATAAAAAGCGTCATATGGCAGATGTATTCCCAGAACTTTTGAATATTACTGAGCCCAGAGTAGAACAAACAAAAAATACAAAGGGGCGGTGCCATGTGTGTTGTAAAGGTAAAGGCGAGAAAACTAGTAAAATATGGGTAAAATGTAACAATTTTATATGTCTAGAACACGCAAAATCAGAGATAGTTAGTGTATATTGTACAAATAGTATGTAGTTGTTATTTAGTCTGTTAGCGTCAGCAGTAGAATGTACTTTGTAGTAATGTGTATGCTTTAGTCTAATAAATGTTCAATACTATAAAAATAATGTACTACTGGTACAGTTTTTTTTTTGTATAAGCATAGTTCACCCATTTAAGAATGAGGTCCGTTCAGACCTCGGCCTGTCTTTTGTGTAATATTTTGAGGCCCGTCCGATGAAGTTAATGATTTAGATGATGAATTGAAACAGGATTTTTACGAAATATGCTGGCGTTTCTTGATTACGCCTTGTATGGAAGTAAAAACAGAAATGATTTTGCAAATGCAGTCATGGGCAACATACACCTTTTAATAAAAGTAGCTTTAACAATTGCCAAGTCTTTTACCACTAATGTCAAAATATCTCCGAATTTGTTATCCCAAGACCTACAAACGATGCAAAAAATTGATGACGAATGGAGGAAACTTCAACAATACTGGGATATTCCAATAGAATTCGAAAATCTGAATGAATTATATTTAAAAGTGAGTCGAATAAAACATTTTGAGGGTAATCCTCCATTTGCTAATCTGAGTGACTTTGGATTATCTGTAACTTTTCTTCATTCAAATGCAAGTTGTGAAAGACAATTTTTAAAAGTAAATTTAATAAAGACAAAGTACAGGAACCGCTTGGTAACAGTCACTTTATATGGCATTATGCATTCATCCCAATCAGATTATTTTCAAAAGAGTTGTATCAATTTTACACTGTCAAAAATAATGGTTAAAACTATGAATACAACCAATTTATACAATAAAGAAGTTGATGATGAACTGCAAGAAGTGGAGTTCACATTAACTGCATAGTGAATATTTTTTTACTTCTTTTTTTAGTTTTTATCTTTTAAATAATTTGTTTTCTTAATTTGTCTTCGTCTGTTTTCTTTTACAAAATATTAAATATATTATTTTTTCTACTTTGTTAAGTTCTTGTTCAATAGAATATAAGTAATTATTACTTAAATGGGAATAAGCCACAATTAAAGGTTAAAGTAAGTTTATTGACGTTTCAATTTTCAATTCGGAAATCGTTCTCAAATACAAACATTAGTAAAACTATTTACTATAGTATATTTGAAGAATAAGCTGGAGTAAATTCTCAGAAAAAAAACTAAATTGTTAATCATATTTTAGTACGTGTGCTTTTCGTACAACTTCAATATTTTAGCTTATTTTACGTTGGGTTTGACTATTTAGATAGAAATTTTTCCATGTCACATGGACTATCGTAAAATTTAAATACCTGCTAGTGTTAGAACTGTGTAGACTAGGGTTTTTTCTGCTGGTCATAGACGTACTCTAAGGGTGGTATTACATTATTTGTTTCGGTTTGTTAGATATTTAAACCGTTTTCAAAGCATATTATATTTATATAAATCTGTTTATTTTAGTAACGTTATTTATAGTTATGTTTGTCGTTATGATAATGACCCATTAAATAACCAGAAATAGAGAAACTCTTAAAATACATAGGTATTTAGTTAATTGTCTTTTGATAGTTTAGATAGAAAAAGTCGATTAGCGAAATATGGTTTCTGATAAATGTGAACGCTATCTTAAATAATATAAATTTCGATTTTGTTTGGAAAACCAATGATTAATAAAATGGTTAATGGTCTTTAAATAGTCAGTCATTCATTAATATCAGAAAATTTTTGTTTAGTCGATTATAAGCGAGTGAAGAGATCTGACACAGTTGTTTTTTGCAAGAGTGAATAGTGATTATATAGAATATGGAATTAACGTGTGATTATACACTAGTTAAAAAATTAAAGTTGAATCATTTATCACTTAACGAAAAGATGTTATCCTTAACGTCTACAATTATTTTAAGCAAGACAATCCCTCCAATACTGTTGATAGTATAGTTGAAATTTCGTCTAAAGTAGTGGGATATTCAAAATCAACTGTATATAACATTTTAAAAGAGGAAAAATCAGCTGGTATAACGCCACCCATACCGAGACCAGGAAGACCAAAATTGTCGAAAGTGAATTTGGATGAATTTTTCAAAAATGCAATTCGTAGAATGGTCCACTCATTTTTTTTAACAAACAAATACCAACTTTATATAAAGTTTTACAAGCTATTACCGACGATCCCGATTTACCCACAATAAGTAGAGACAAACTTTGCATGAGTTAAACTTTAAGTATGAAAAAGTGGGCAGACAGTCAATGCTTATCGATTCCGAAGAAATTGTGTGTTTGAGACTAGACTACCTTAGAAAAATAAAAAAAATGAGGACCGAAAATAAGAACATTTATTATTTAGATGAACGTGGGTTAATAAAGGGCATATTGTAGGAAGAGTTTGGAAAGACAAAACTATAAAAACATGTCGACAAGCATTTCTGGAAGGATATTCAACTGGTTTCAAGGAACCAATAGGTAAAGGTCGACGATTAATTGTTACCCATATAGGTAGTATGAATGGTTTTCTTAATGAGAGTTTACTTTTGTTTGAATCAAAAAAGACCTGTGATTATCACGAAGAGATGAACGGAGACGTGTTTGAAGAATATTTCGAACAGATGATTGAATTCATACCTAAAAATTCAGTTATTGTGATGGACAATGCAAGTTACCACTCTAGATTAGTTGAACGTTTACCAACTACTTAATGGAGGAAAGATGAAATTGCAATGTGGGTAACTTCTAAGAATTTAATCTTTGACGATACAATGACAAAAGCAGAATTATTAGAGCTTGCTAAAATAAATAAACAAAATTATAAAAAATATGTCATTGAGGAAATAGCCAAAAAACGAGGAATTGAAATACTTCGCCTACCGCCGTATCATTGCGAGCTAAATCCGATTGAATTAGTATGGGCCGAAGTTAAAAGTAACGTAGCTCGAAATAATACAACTTTTAAATTGTCAGATGTTACTATTCTTTTTCATAAATCAATATCCGAAGTAACGACTGAACATTGACAAAAATGTATTAATCACGTTATGGATATTGAGAAAAATATGTGGGAGCTTGATCATATAATAGATATCTGTATAGAACCTATAATAATTCATCCCGGATCGGATAACACTTCGTCTGAAACAGAATATGAGGAAGCTTAACTTTAAACTGTAGCTCAGAAGTTTATTTTACATTTGCCGACAACTTCATTGTTTATTTTTATTTATTTTTTATTGCTAATTTAATTTTCATTCGTTTTTCCAATATTATTAGTATTAAGAATATTATTATTTATTAATAGGAATATATAAAAACTTACAGGTTTTGTGTATGTATTTTACGTTTCAGTATAATTTATTGTATTTTATTATTTTATATTAACTGTATGTTTCACAAATAATAGAATTTTTATTGTTTTTGTGTGTATCTTTTTATTTTAAACCGGTATTGGATTGAATTAATTACTTTGGTCTAAATATCCCAATAAATTTAACGCAAACTTTTCTTTTAAGATTACGTTTTAGTTAGAAGATGTGCACGCCTATGTATTTCGAGGTGCGAAGATTAGTATTCTGAGAATTTACTCCAGCTTATACTTCAAATATACTATAATATTTGTATTTTGAGAACGATTTCCGAAGTGGAAATTGAAACGTTAATAAACTTACTTTAATCTTTAATTGTGGCTTATTACTATTTAAATAGTAATTACTTTTAAATGCCACAAGCATATAAGTAAGTACGATAATCTACTATAAAATACGATAATTTGAACAAGGGCATACGAGTTTCTGACTTTCTGAGTTTGGTGACCCGCCTACTATTCGCTATATCGTTTAAAATATGTTTCTCCCATTTCCTACCGTTAAAAGTACGTACCCACCTTAAATTATTTCTGGTACTGTATATATTATTTAACTTATTTGTATTTTATAATAAAATAAAAGAAAATTCATAAAAAATATATATTTACCTTTTGGTGGAGTTAAAGGTATATTATGTTTTTCACAGAAGCCCACAGGAAATATACAAGGCGACTTCACATGGTAACAGAACCAGTCAGCGCCGGTAACATCAGAATCGTACGTGTCGATACGTATCATGATGTAACCATAATTTAAAACGTCCGTGACGGTGGCTACGGAGATAGAAGATAGATTCAGCGGGTCTATAGCTTCCAACTTCATCCCTATACAGAAACCAGATTGGGAATTTTCCGCGAAACCTACTTGGTATGGATTAAAGAGTTCTTCCGTAGCATCGTCGTCATCGAAAATCCCGTCGTTGACGCGCTCGAGGTAGTTTATGGGAGCCACCAGATGATGGTTAACCTAATAAAATAAAATGTTTTATAGTTTTGCTATAAAAAATTAATATGGCTTCTACCAGAAGTATTCTCTCGCAAAATATTCGTAACATTTTAATATAAAATGTAGGTATATCGTTTTACTGTCATTTAGCATTTATTACAAAGACAAAGGGTGATGGATAACTAATCTACACAGTGTTTAAACCGAATTTTTCTGTTCTTAAAGTTTCACATTTGGCCCAATTAAGTCTGCACCATATGGTAAACTTTTTTATTTTTAGTTTTATGAAAGTTATTCTTTATAAAAAATTCCGAATGATCTAAAACCTAGAATACAATCATCAAATATTAATTTTTTTTTAGTTATATAAGCGATTTGTCAGAAAATATCAATTTTATGTAAAAAAAATGTCCACAATTCAATACAACAATACAAGAGAAATATGAAAGGATAATGTATATTACCTTCTTGGCCCAACCAACTGGATGCAATAATGGAGAATCTTCATGGCACCAAAAGCCATCATCCTCAGGTGGCATATCGTAATATTTGACGTTTAATCTTTTCCCGACGATTTTGTGCACAATGGCCAATTTCACTTGGGATATACGATCTTTATCGACGACTTCGAGATTAAGGCCACATTCAAACCTATAAAACAAAAAAAAAACAACTTATTTGATCTTCTATTGGCTGTCTGATTACATTTGCAATGTCGGGATCTTTTAGTTTATTAATATAGATTTTATCTCTCCTTTACCCGATCTCCTGTTTTAACACTTTGGCTACTGTGTATACCATTTCTGGTACACAGTTGATGTTTACCAGAAACTGCGTGTACCAAATTTGGTCACATGAAATGGTAATGTTTCAAGCTGTGTGTACATTTGGTGAACACAGTTCTGATGGTTTTAAATGCGTATCTAGGTTCCTACAGTTTACTGCTAAATTCTGGCGAAGCAGTTTGGGACTTAATCAACAGATGGCTGTACTATGACCGATTTTTTAAAATTATGGCGGAGCAGTTTGAGACTCCTTCAGCAGATGGCATATTATGGCCATTTTCTGACTTGCAGAAACTTGTTGTTTGTGCAATATTAGTCTTGTGTGTTTACGGTTCTAAAATTAGTACTTAAAATGTCAAATAAAAAATTAAGTGATGCTGAACTACGTGAAATAGCCGAGAATATGAGTGAAATGGAGTATGAGTTTATTAGTGAAGATGATGATGATGATGCTATGGATATAGATGATCCAAATGATCAAGATTCGTGTTCTTCTTCCTCTAATTTAGAAATTAACAGTGATGGGCAAGAGTTAGAATTCGAATCTGATCTAGAATCTCTCAACAACGATTCTGAACCTGATAATTTTTTAAATAATCCTAATCCTAATGTCATTTGGAATAATTGTGCAGGTAATATATAAATTAGTATTCACTTTTATAGTTTTGAGTTTATAATTTTGTAGGTAATTTGAACACATTTACTTTCACGGAGATTCAGGATTCTCCCAAAGTTTTTTTGCACAAAGGGAAGGAGATCATCCAATTCATTTTTATAAATTATTTATTGACAACGATATCTTATCACTTATTGCCGAGGAAACCAACAGATATGCTGAACAGAAAATAGTATCAGGAATTACAAATGAAACATTAACAAAAACAGCATTATTGGGACAATGGAGAAACACAAATCAATCCGAAATTTTTGTTTTCTTAGGTCTTCTAATATGGATGGGTTTGGATCGTAAACCCACTTTGAAAGATTATTTTAGCACCAATATGCTGTACAAAAATGAAATTGGAAAATTTGTTCACATGTCCAGGATAAGGTTTGAGCTTCTTTTGTCCAATTTGCACTTCTCAAACAACGAAATTGCCTCAGATGATAGGCTCAAAAAATTCCTTCCCTTGCAAAATTTGTTAATCAAGAAGTTCCAATCAGCATATACTCCTGACAAGAATGTGTGTATAGATGAGACGATGATTCCTTTTCGAGGACGACTGAGCTTTCGCCAATATATACCGGGGAAGCGTCACAAATACGGTGTGAAATTATTTAAACTATGTGGAGTGAAAGGTTACACATACAATTTTAAAATTTATACAGGAAAAGAGCAAACACCTAATGAAAAGCCAATTGGTACAAAAGTGGTGCTACAGCTTATGGAACCACTTTTACATTCAGGTCGCGTTTTGTGCACAGATAATTATTACACTAGCGTGAATTTAGCACACGAACTTCTGAACAAAGATACACATTTAATAGGCACACTGAGAAAACACAGGAAGCATAATCCAAAAGTAGTAAGTGAGGCTAAATTAAAAAGGGGTGAATTAGTCATGAGACAGAGTAACAGTAAAATCATAATTGGAAAATGGAAAGACAAAAGAGATGTCATGTTTCTCACTACGGAGTCTGTGCCTGAAATAGTGGACGTGCCAACAAAAAGGGGTGTCGTGAGAAAGCCTTCCACAATCGTGCAGTATAATAATGTGAAATCATTTATAGACGTCTCTGATCAAAAAGCATCATATTCATCAGCAGTGCGTAGGGGTATTAAGTGGTATAGGAAAGTTTCAATTGAACTTTTGGTTAACACATCTATTATAAATGCACATACTGCATACGAGGCTATAACAAACAAAAAGATAAGTATCACTAAATTTAGAGAAGAAATCGCCTCAGAAATTTTTCGTAGTCAAAATATTCAGATGAAAAATTTGGATGATCGTCGTGTTAACCAAGAAAGAAATCACAAACTTTCCGAAGTGGAACAGAGAGGTCGTTGTACAAGATGTTATAAAAATAATAGTGCTAGAAATGGACGTAACTTTGCTATAAAAGAAACAAAACGTGTTAAAACATCTTGTCTAGCATGCAGTGATAAGTTTTTGTGTACCAACTGCTTTTTTGACACTCATTACTGTCAAGCAAAAAAATGAACATTGTGTCCAAAAATGGTACACATAGTTTCTAAGAAGATAATTACGCATTTATTTCTGCCACAAACTGTGTGTACCATTTTTTGACACGGCCCTTACACATGATTTTTTTTCAAAAAAATACCTAAATGTTGATATTTACATGTTTTTAGTATTAAATATTGTGAATTTTACCAAAATATAGTTTCAGTTTCTGACAAAAAACTTCAAATTTATAGCCAGTAGCCAAAGTGTTAAATTGGAAATTCTCTCTTTAAATCCTGCTTTAACTAAATAGTAGAGTAAAAATTAAAGGGTAAGGGTTAGTCTCAGAAATAAATTGGTAGCGGTAAGTAATAAATATTCTTAATTGTAGTACAGAAGACTGTAAACAAATTAAAATAAGTGTTAAAAGACTACCAATAAAAATTAAAATAAAAACGACATAGCTTCCCAATACCGAAACTAAATACAAAAGTTAAAAAATATTTACCTAGATTTGAGGCTATCGCTCGCTTTATTGCTAAAATTCGAAGGTAAGGTTCGAGCACCCGTCAGACGTTTCCTCAAGAAATCTTTCCAATCACTATATTTGTTTTCGATTGTCTTTGGAGGTATCAAAGGCTTTCCTCTAGTGGCACACCATCCTACAGGATGAACTTGATTGGAACAAAGCGACACCCAGAAATCTTTGGAATCATTTTCACCGAACCCTAAAATAATACATAGATGTTAGCATAATGAACATAAAGAAATTTTATCTCAAAAATTGGTACAATAATGTTAATTCTTCCATCATTCTAATGTCGAAATAATACAAAAATAATGTAGGGAATTTTACTTCTGTCAATTTTTACGTTAATTGAAATGCCGCGTAAAATTGTATACTTTGGTAAAAATGCACATAATAATAGTATTTATTTTATTTATAGGTTTTCTATTTCTACATTTGCCTTACCTTCATATCTCAACTGTGCTTTATACCCAACTATCCTCACGACAGTTGCGACCCAAAATGAATCAGCAAAAGCTTCGGAAACGTTATCGCAGTCCGTATTTTCTATTTCGACCTTCATACCAACCATGATATTGTCCCAAATATCTGCCATAGGAGCATGCTTGAAACAAGTAACTGGTGCCGCTAAAAAGAAGTTTCCTTTATCATGGAGTTAAAATGATAGTTGAAATTAAATTTCTTGTTTTATGAAAAATTTGTCCCTTGTAACTTGTCAAACTGGTAATGGAATCACTTAGGACTAACTAAGAAAACTATTAGAACAGTTTGATCACCATGACCCAAAGAACCATTGTCGATTTTAAGATAAAATTGATGATATTTATTTAAGATAAACAAATAAATTCAATGGAATCTCTAACTTTTAAATATTTTACATAATTTTAGTTTCCATAGCTATATTTTCTCAAACTAATCATCACAACTATATCTACTAGTCAGTTTTTATTACCTATAGTAAAATACAGGAGAAGAATTTAGTAGACGAGAAGTTATTCTTATGAAGAATAATAATCAAGTGACAGATAACGCTACAGTGTTACGCGATTTCTTACTTCAACTTTGTCATGCCAGAATCGATTTAACATGCGATTAAAAAGACAAGTATGAATAAAGTAAAGCAAGTTCGGCATTTTTAGTATTAAAGTTTAGCCAATCAGAAACAGATTCAAATAAATTATTAAATGTATTACCATTAAATATAGAAATCCCACAAGATATGGCTGTTGTACTCATCAGACAATAACATGGAAATTGGGAATAAATGTGAATAGACAGAAAGAGACTAGAAACAGTGAATAGAAGGCCTTTGAAAATATTTGTTTGTGTGTATATTATGCATTCTGCTGATAGTGTGTTAAAACACTTTTCCAAGAAAAAGACCCACTCTTAAAGAAAGTGCTGTTCCAAAAATATTGCCAAAATATTTTACAACGCAAGAAGATGGTGCTAAAAGGAACAGTCCCAAGAAAAAGAGAGAATTAATTACAGATAGGCAGCAACAACAAGACGAATGGCTTCAAAGTGTTGTGATAGTGGATTTTTGTAGTTTTAGTAAAAATTTTAAGTGTAAGTTATTATCTGGTGAAATGGAAGTAGCGTTAAGAAGAAAAGCAGATTTATGTATATATCCTGAAAATTGAGTGTGGTGAGTCAGAAATCAGGTGTAGAATTAAAATTAAGGAAACAATGTAAATTCAAATACATTATTATTAAAACAACTTCAAAACGAAGTCTTTGCTCACAAACTAAAAATATTTTATCTTGCTATTTGAAGCCGAAAACAACAGTATTAGTTCAGAAACATTATTATCAACTTTATTTTTATTAACTTGAAGCTAATTTATTAATTAGAACAGCTCCCAATTTAAATTACAAAACAGTTTATCTACCAAACATTGAAAGACATAATGTTACCTTAGCTTGCAATATTTTTAATGAAATAACTCACGCTGCCCTATTTAATTATGGTGAAGGTACTACTGAATTTATTAATGTAATTATAAAATGGTGGTTAATTGATAATATAAAAAATCCGCTGTCATATAAATTCAAAGAAAATGATTTTTTAAAACCATTTGATGACATAAATGATGAACATATCCAATATACCCATTTACATATATGATATTTATCGATTTTAAACAAGCATTATATAAATAATTGAGGTTGTCAAATGCTTACCCACAAAGTATGGCTCTGAAAACATTGAATCCCAATCAAACGAATTGGCCAATTCAGCAGGTTTCCTCCTGATGAGAGGAAGGGAATCGTCAATAGGAGGTAGTTCTGGTAGAGGTGAGAGTTGTGGTAATGGATCATCTATATAAGAATCAGTAAAGTCGTCTTCTAGCTTCATACTGAACCGATACTTAGCAAAATGCTGCTTGTTGTCTGGTGTACTTGGATACTGTTGTGGTAAAGGTTCTGGTATAAGGCCGCTATATCCCCTAGCACAGGCCATACTGCAGAAACGTCGTTCCCTGGTGTAAAAAGCGTGTTTTACCCCTATGGCACCGCACTTTTCACATACGGCTGCAATTAGACGGATTACTTTATTAATAAAACAACATCCATTACTTTGACAGAATTAAAAACTTAAGAACCGCTTTTTAGGCCAACAATCTTGCGATAAAAAAAACCCAACAAAAATAATTATGAGGCGTCTATATTGATGAAGTTTTCATAGTGCGCAGAGTCTAACAAAATTTCCACGAGACTAATTCAGTAAGCATACTCAGTGAAAAAAATAACTATGCAAAAGAATGACAGTTTTTTTAGTCTATTAATGTTTCTGAATTAATCAAAATGTAATGAGAACGATTGCGAATTTGCGAATTGATTGTTAAAAGTTAGTCAATATATGAGACTAACTACAAGAGGTAATTCCTCTTTTTAATGAGTCCTTTTGTCTTTTTGGATCAGATGAACAATGGTGAGTACAATTGGTGAGTGAGAACAATTTTGAACAATAAATCTAAAGAAACAAAAATTGTTTGCTAATTTGCAACTATAATTTTCAGAAAAACATTTGTTCAAAAAGCCAATAATTTCTTTATTTAAAATGACTATATTTTAAATTGACTCCATATTCTTATACCAGCTGATTCAGATGATAGAACTATCCAACCTACTATCTCTAAATTTTCGTAATGTATTAATATGAGGAAATAAGAAATAATAACTTTATCTAAATCATATACAATGGTTGAATTTTTAAATAATTGCCAAGAGAGCATAAACAAAAATAAAACTTTTAAACTTACCAATGCCATCTTTCTGAATAGGTATTACAGAAGGGTCAGTATTGCTGTGATAAGCTATTGGTGTCTTAAGTACCAGACCAGGATGCTTGATTGGCTTAATTTTCTTTTGACATGGCAGTGTTTGAGTAGAAGTTGTAATCATATATACAGGATTAGAACTGTCATCATCCATATAGCTAGAATCATTGCTTTCATTTTTTATATCTAAGTAATGCATCATGTCATAGTTTTCCATGGTATCCTGAAATCACATATAATTATCATAAAAAGTTCACTTTATGCACCTTTATATATGTTCCCTGTATTGATTTTTGTAGCAGTCTCTGTCAGGTGTTGCCTAAAAGCTATGGGCAACCTATGCAAGGTAACCCTAAGTATTTTTGGAATAGGGCACTTTTGTCTCTATTATAGTGAATAGCATGTATTTCTTGCAGTTTTATTTCTTTTGGTTTAATGCCTAATGCATCTTTTAGTAATTAATACAAGCAAGAAGAATAATTATATAGCGCAGAGCCTATACTAACTGAACAAACTATGTCACGACTTTGACGCGGCTGGAATAGTGTGGATATTTTGTAATGAAGGTTAGAGGTGTGGTCACCACATAAGGCTATAAATAAAAATGGAGATTATTGACCCATGCATTTGATTTTATTGTCACAGTGGTGTCAGTAAGCGGGATTATTCCAATCATTTATAAAACAGAAATGAATATGGGCAGAAACTGTTAATAGTAAAGACTTTTGTTAAGTGAAGTGAAGTGTTTAGTAAAGCGTTGTTATTCAGGCTAGAGAACACTTGCAAACAATATAAATACTGTAGTTGTTGAGTTTTCAGTACAGACTACTTAAGATTTTGAAAAGAAAATTGGCATGTGTTCGATCAATGAAGCTGCTAAAACATCTTACTGTGAAAAGCTGAAGGAATGAGATGAATATTCTGCAAAAAATTCAAAAGGCATTCAAAATTTCAGTCAGTAGACAATACAATCACAAAAAAAAAATAATGAAACTTCTAAAATGATCAAAACAAACCCTACAAACACTAACGAATGGTTAAGTGACGTTTCTAGAAAGACAAATTATTAGAAGTTTTTAAAATAATCTAACTTCTAAATGGATGAAGAAAAAATAGATAAAATGCAGAAAAATATAGATGATCTAAATAATCTAAAAGATCAGAAGAGAAAATAAAAGCAATCAATATACTGATAAACAATGGGATCCCAAAAGATCTAGGATGCCAATGTGACCAAAGAAAACTCTTCAGTATTTAAAAAAAGTTCAGTAACTTGGACAAGTTTAAAAATCAGGTTAGACACTTATTATAAATGGTGGCCAAGATATATTTTACTGAAACAGCAAGCAAAGATAGACAATGGGTTGGAACATCTGGATTGGAAGATTATGAGAAACATTATTGAACTGATTTCTCGAGAGACAGGCACATATTATAGTGTGCTGCATTAATTCCAAAAGATCTTGCTCTTGCCCTTCAAAAACGGTAAATTATTACACTTTTTCTCCAAAGCTTGTGCAGGGCTGGAAACAGTTGTTGCTCTCTCTACTAAGAACAAAGGCTAAGAATGTTTTATTGGGGTGCTTAAGGCTAAAAGTGTGTAGTGTCAGAAGGTAATGAAGTGACTATACTAAATAAACAAACTATGTCACACTGCCGCCACCACAGGGGCTGGATATATTATATCTCTAGACGATTTAAGTAAGGTTGTACAAATAAATAAAAGTAGATATTATTGAATCTCCAATCTTTGTGATATTCCCATATAGTATTGAAAGAAAGAAATAAAAACAGTCAAATCTTAATTTAATTTGTTTATATATTGCTTCCACATGCATTTGTGAATATTTTTTACAGAAAAAGAACTCCTACATATATTCAGCAATAACATATTTAATTTTAATAAAGTAAACTAATATTTTGACAGTGCAGTAAAAGTGCAGAATAAGTCCATCAGCTACATTAAGTTTAAATACTTTTGCCTGATATATCAATGTTTTAACTTACCATATGTGAACTGGTCCCAGTGTGGATATCATCCATGGATTGGTTAGACATGCTGTGATTAGATGGTGTATAATATATGTTATCGTGATCTAGAAGCATGTCGTTGTTATCATTGGGCATCAGTTCTCCCATTGACATATCACCTGTTGTCTGTCCAGCCCCCATCCACACCATTCCCATTTCCGCAACACCAGGCATTGTACTATACACTGAAATTCAGTTTATTTTAAAATGTGTATGTAAAATAATAGAAAATAAGTAACAATAAAACACTGAAAACTTTGTTTTCAAACTTCCACAAAATTTATTTTAAATATTATCACATACAGCTGTTCGGCTGATTGCCTTTCTCAAGTGAGAAGAGAAGACAGAACTTGAGAAAGGCAATCAGCCGAAACAGCTGTAGTGATAATATTTAAAATAAATTTTGTGGAAGTTTGAAAACAAAGTTTTCAGTGTTTTATTGTTTACATAAAATGAATTTCCATCAAGTAACGGTTGAATCCATCAATTATAGAAAATAAGTGTTTGGTCTAACAGAAAAGGTTTTTTGAAGTAGATAATATTTATTTTGCACTGTTTTAACTGTTATTTTCCAATGACTTTGTCCTGGCTAATATTTTTTACAACAATATCTCAGTTACTATTAGTATTTTTCCATAACTTACTACAAAATAAAATAAATAATAGATAAAATATTTGATTTTTTAAAATATACAAAGATACAACAAATTTTTAATTAATTATTTATAATTCTGCTTTTCAACTCTTTATGTTAAATTTTTTTGTTAAATATAAGTTTTTATTAATAAGTAATCTTCATCTACAGAAACCTATATCATGTTATGTATACTTTTTCTTACAGACCACAAACTACTAAAAGTTATGGAAAATCTCAAATTTTAATTTACAAAACTAAGAAATCAATGATAGATAAGAGGGTCTCTTTTTCAAAAGGTATTTTTGAAATAAAGAATAAATGGTGAAACAAGTTTTTAATATACAATGAACTTTATAAAGAAGGGAGTAAAACATGGGTGAAGAAAAACAGAGATTGTTTTTAAATGAGTTTGAATATAACAGACAAAAAAGCTGTCTTGCTTTAATTCTCAATTAGTAAAGTAGGAAACTACAATTAAGCATCTTCTTTTTCATCAATTACTGTATCCATCAGTAGAGAGTAGATAAAATATGGGAATTTCAGATCAAAGATGGCGGACAGCTGGATGGTTATGTATGTGGCATTGTATAAGTTTAGAAGAAAGCCTCCCCTGTCGTCAGAGGGATCTTTTAGGGGTGAAAATGGTAAGAAGTAGAAAAATATGTGTTCTTTGAAATGAATAAAGAATTTGCAATCACTTTGATGGCAGATAGGGATGACTAGGTGACGTTGTGGCCCATGCAGGTGTACAAGAAAGCCTCCCTTAACGTCAAAGGGATGAGAGTGTTCATTGAAATGGAAATATGAGTAAAAAGCTACCAATAGGGCGTTATGTAGCTTTTTGTCTTGCTAATATCCAATATGTACTACATTATGTAGATTGTCTAATTTCCCCATTTATCATATTTTGTTACTAAATATCTACCTAACGCACTACTGGTAACTGTTTACTCATATTTTCACGACCATATTCTTATTTTCCATTTTAACGAACACTCCCATGACTTTGACATGAGGGGAGGCTCTCTTGTACTTCTACAGAGGCTCCAACGTGATCTAGTCATATTTTGTTACCAAATATCTACATTATGCCCTACGGGTAGCTTTTTAATCATCTTTTCACTGCTATTTTCTTATATTCCATTTTAACAAACACTCTCAACCCTCTGACATTAAGGCTTTCTTGTACATTTACAGGGGCCTCAACTCCACCTAGCCATATTTTGTTACCAAATATCTACACGCCCTATTGGTAGCATTTTGCTGATCTTTTTCATTTTAACGAACACTTTCACTGCTTTGACGTTACAGGCGGCCCTCTTGTACATCTACAGAGGCCACAACACCACCTACTCATCCAAATCTACCATCAAAGTGATTGCAAATTCTTTATTCATTTCAACAAACACATATTTTTCTACTTCTCACCATTTTCGCCCCTAAAAGACCTCTCTGACGACAGGGAGGCTTTCTTCTACATTTATACTTCTTGTACATCACCCACGACATCCCCAGAGGCTACTTCTACGGCCATAACGCCACATACCTAACCATCCAGCTGTCCCCTATCTTTGATCTGAAATTCCCATATCTTATCTACTGCAGAGTTTGGCAAAAATTTTGGAAAAATGTGTGTTGTTTTGTGTAGTTCTCAGGAGTGTATAATTAAGTCCTATCCAATCACAGATGTTATTCAACCAAGAACACTGGAGCTTTTGAGAGGTCATATCTTTGTTGTTGAGATGTATGTCCCAAGTATCGAGTCTGTCTCATTTTGATTAATGTTAACTGTTCTCCATTTTTCAGGTTCTTCTCAAAACTTTGTCATTTGTGACATGACCCAAGATATTCTAAACATACATCAGTATATCTACATTTTCTTCAAGGCTACAAGGCATTGTACTGACTTTCATGGTTCACGCTTCTAGTCCACACAACAATACAGACAACAAAACTATTGACTATTTGACAACTATTTGACAAAACAGAACCCCTTAATAAATATTTTATTCACTCATAATCATAGTGGTGCTACAGCCCTTAAAGGGCCTCAACCTTTTTAAGTTTTCTGTGCCATTCTGCTCTGTCCCTTACTTGGATTTTCCAGTTAGCAACAGTGATCTACTCAGTATTCTATCCACCTCAGCTTTGATCTACCCTGTCTTCTTGTTCTCCCCGGTTGTTATATTAGAATCTTTTTTATCATGGTCCATTCTGGTAGCCGGGTAACATTAATGCCCACTGCAAACAGTTTAGCTTGATTGTAGAGGTAATACCTTTTCCACCAAACTTATGCTTATCTTCAGTTCAAAGTTATATCTGCACATCCTTATTCTGTTCTCTTGTAGTTACCAGTTATAGACAAAATATACATAATCCTTTTTACTAATCTTATACAGAATATATTTCTTACTCTGTCACAAAATGGGGATAAAAATGAGTGTTATAATCTCTTATAATCTTTTCTCACAATTTTCTTCATTGATTTTTTTTGTACTCATCATCATCATCATCATCCAGCCTTCATTTATCAAGTCCACAGGCCTCCTTTAAACTCCTCCATTCTTTGCGATTTTGTGCTCTTTATTGCCAATTTTTTGTGATACACCTGATGTCATCAGCCCAACATGTAGGCGGTCTTGCTCTACTATGTTTGTCTGATCTTGAATGTGTAATTTTGCTCTATTATTTTTTGTACTATTGAATCTAAATTTCATAAACTTACATTGGTAAGTTTATTACTTTTATTCATAATGATGAACCATTTGCATGTGTCCATTTTACATAAGGGTAAATAAATTCACTCACAAATTATGAGTAAAAACCTTTTAGATACTCGACATTATTACAATAGCTTAAAAACGGGAAAGAAGGATCTTTACTTCATTAATTTTGTGCAGCATTTACATTTTTATATGCCACTTAAATTTTTCGTTAACTGATGATACTAACCATTCCAAGATCTTGAATATTAACTTGGGTATGTTTTGGAATTTAGTTGATAATATAAATGGTGTGGTTTCATATTAAAATCAACTTGAAAAAGTATGAAATGCAGATATAGGAAAAGAATTGGAAAAGAACTTTATGCACCTGGAATTTGATATAAAAAATCCATCATACCAATGAAAGATTTTATATTGGCTGGAATTACTAGTATCTTCTGATGAATTATGTCCCTCATTGGATGATAAGATGATAGATATTCCCATTGGACATACAAAACTGGTAAAATTACATTTTATACAATATGGGTATCTAGATAAGATAAAAATTTGTTATGACTTGATTCTCAAATGTGACAGTATGGCTTCAAGAAACATGCCCAAATATAGAGATAGTTTCAACCCAATAATAGGAAACTAAATAAGGATCTCATCAAAAGTCATTAACATAAAATCTTAATCACTAGTTAGGTAGGTTCCTAAGATGTTTTGTACATTTCATTGATATAAAGAGCCAACTTTAATTATGCATAACATCATGTTTTCTTGCCTTGTAAAAAGTAAAAAACAGGATGTGGCACTCTGGGAGTAATCAAGGAGGAGAAGCAAAGCTTTCTTATCATCTATGCAGGGAGCAATGGTTTTTAATTGCATTTATTTTATTCAATTCATTTTATTTCAGTTTAGTTTATTTTATTAAGAAATGCTCATGCGACTTTGTTTACTACTCCATATAGTGTGTGATTGCACAATCAGTTATTTCATTGTGTTTCATTGCAATTCTTTTGTTATTTTTTCACACCTCTATAATATGATCCATTTCACTGATCAATGCACTCTATCTGTAGGCCATGATAAGAGGGCTATGCTTCTAGAATGTATTACAATAAGATTAAAACAGAATAAAACAAGGAAACAGAAACAAGATTAAAAATTTGGAAAGACATTTAAATAAATTAGTGAGTCTAATATTGAAAGCACGAAACAAAAGTGAATTATTTCATAATAACACAAGAACCTTAATTCCCTCAACCCAATAACAATAATTAGAGATATTTTATATATTTTTTATAAATTCCTTATTTATTTTAAAATTGCTATTTTTTATTTTAATTAAAAGAGTATATAAGTGTGCTAAAATCTGCATCAAGTCAGCAAATTTATTGATGTATATTTAAAGCAGTATTGAAATTGAAATTTTTATGGTCAGAATATCTCAAATCATTCACACTAGTTGTAGAAACTGTTGCCCTTGGTGACTTAACAAAAGATATAAAAACCTTGGAAATGATGTTTGTTTAAGATTTTATTAAAATAATAATCATCTTAATGTAATGTGTATCATTCAGTATGCAAAGATATAGGGAGCCTACAATTTTAATTTCAAATCTGAAAGACTCAGTGTAGAGAAGCTGTACTAGACAGATTATGACTTTGTAGTTTATCAGAGAATAAACAGCATCCACAACAGTTTTGCAGCGATTGAACTCATAACATTTAGCACCATAGATGGATAAAATCACATACAAACCTCAGTCACAAAACAATATTGTAAAAAATATATATATAATACTTCACCTTAGTACAAGAATGTTCACATTTTT